AAGCTCTATCGATTGGTATATGACTTAATTTGAAAAGTGAAAAGATTTAGAGAAAAAAATTATAAATATATATGTGACATAGGAGTGACTTTTTCGAAAAATAGGCAAAAAATGGTGTTATTCATGAATTTTCGAGCTCAACTTTTGCACGAGTTGAACACTTTGAAGAAAAGCCCAATATATGAATCGATGCAGAATTGAATGGGCTACAAAATGGTATAAAGCTTTTTTTGGCAATCGATATTTCACTAGGTCTTTTGGGCAAAATACCGAGAATTAATGGATTTTTTAAGATGAAAAAAATAGTGTATTTGGACGTTTTCTCTTATATTTTGAAATAAATGGAAAATGCCATATAAGCAGTTTTGTAGAGCAAGTCAAGCTCTATCGATTGGTATATGACTCAATTTGATTAGAGGAGAAATTATTTGAAAAAAATTCAAAAAACAAAAAAACTCAATTTTGCTCATTTTTTAGGTCATTTTTTAGGGTAATATGGTATGACATACCCTAACTCTCTTAAAGTAAATCTTTAGACCGTAATATTTTGGATTCATATATGGGTCAATAGTGCCTAAGTTTCTATCAGGTCAGATCCGGAATCCGTTGACCCACGTGTTTTGTCATATATCAAAAATGTTTGGTTTTCTCGTGGAACGTCTCTTAAAAATTCGAATAATATTATAATTTATCTCATACTTAATTCAAGATATTCATAAAAAAGTGTCGTAGTTGTCCATCGTTCTAACCTATAAAATATTAATAAAACAATATTAATTTCAAATTTGTTTTGTGTCTTACATGAAATCTTCTTCTTGTGGTCTTTTACTATACCAATGAAGTGTATGATGACGACGATATCTCATTTGTTTAAATGCATTTCGATGAACAAGTACACGACGAAAATAAGTCCAAAATTTCCTACAGAGAGAAAAAGAAAAAATAATTTATTTAATTAGAAAATAAGTAAAAAAATTCTTTGTTCTTACACCATGCCAACTTCGAATAAATTATTAATAACTTGTTTTCCCACGAGTATAACTAACAATTGAATAGATAATTCCGCTAGACAACCACTAGCTTCACACTAATGATTAAAGATAGAAAAATAAATTTCTTTTGACATTTATTTATTTTACTTCTTCAGTTTTATATTTTCCAATTTTATAACTTTCTACGCCAGGTGGATTAGCAAACCATGGTTTAATAAATGCAATATAAAAAATACTTGCATAAAAATTAACAAATTGAAATAAGAACATTTTTAGTGTTAACGCATTTTCATAATCTTTTTCTGTTCGATGAATTTCTATTAAAAAAATGAAAAAATAGATTAAATCAAAATTAATTCATTTTGGTTTTATTTTTACCATAGTCTGTTAACCATATAGCTAAACGTTCATATAGGGAACTTAATGCAATAATAACAACAAGATTAATAAATGCGCCAGTTATTGAAGCTACATGTGGAGAATAACGACGAACAAGTTCGGGTGTACGTGTTGAGCTTATTGTTGCTTTAATCGTTACTCGATAGAGTACAACACCAAAAACAAAACTGAGCACAAGTAATATCTATAGAAGAAAAGAAAAATTTCATAATTAATTTTTTTTGAAAATTAAGAAAACTATTTATGTATCTTAAAGCTTAGATTAAGAAAGAAATTTTTGTTCAGTTCGAATTATAGATCACGAAAAATGTAGATTAACGTATTATAGTATAGAAGAAATATCACTTGATATTTTTTTTTAAAGCTTTTAAGGACATACACAATAGTGTATTTTATGGTGAAAAGAAATCTTAAGTGTATCTATTTCCGTCTTTTCCTTATCATTTAATTTCTATTTTCTTTAATTCTATCAATTCTCCTACTGTGAACATGCATTTCATTTCATCAACATGCTCATTTAGTCTGAAAGGAATTAAAGCTTATACCCCCTGCTCATTTTCTTCCGCTTTACTAGTACTTTGCTGTAGCTAATGTGCTGAGATAAGAGTATTATAGGAAATCTTGGCCACTTTTCATACTAGTAAGGATAATAATAAAAATTACATTGATATAAAATCAGTAGTATTTCAGAGTTAGAAGTAAACATAAAATTTTTAAAATACTACTCATGTTTGGTTATCCTCGATGAAAATATATTCTTATTATTTTGCTTTGTTGAGATTAAAAATTCAGTATAATATCCTCATATCAGTTGCCACAAAAAAAATGTTTAGAAGAGAGTTTCGACTAATTGAAATTAAAAAAACTAAAACGAACCATCATAGCAACAACGGAAAATGATGATGCAATTTTTGCACATCGTTCTCGTGTTGGCATATATTGTTCCGTAACACCAGTTATTGGATTTATACGTGTTGTTCGAACTTTACGTTTAAAATCTGGTCGTGGTTCATCTAAATCAGTACCTCCACCTCCACCATCCATTAAATCAAACGTATCCCATTCATACTAAAATAAAATATAACAGTTTGTCATTTATTATCATTCTTGATTTTAGTTTTACTTGATATTGATATTCTGCAACATCCCAAGCTGGAAGAAATAGAGCGGACCAAACAGTTACTATAGCGGCATAAGCGACAGTTGCTTTATTATCAAATAGAAATGCCATCTACATTCATAAAAAATTTTCGTTCAAAAACAAAATCTTTTTTTTTTCGATTAATTTCTTTTACTTTAGCATATAGACAATCTTCACCAAGTTGCCATAGCTGACGATGTGATCGTGGACACATTGTTGTAGTTGATAATTTATTACATATGTCATTGCTACACATAAAAACATCATTAGCTATCTAGATCATATACAAAATTAGCTTACTGACGTGGGTACATCATGTTTCATTGCCCAAAGACCATAGAAAAAAACTGAAAGACCAAGTACACATGGAAGAAGTAACATTTGAATATACCTTGAAAGTAAAAAACAAGAATATTCTTAATTTAAAGAATAAACAAACAAACAAACCATCGTAACCAACAAAAATATAATGCAACATGTTCGCCAAAATAATCTTTGATATGACTTACTGGTTGATCTTTAAACACATTACTTATTCGACTCCAATACCACCATAGTTTCTAACAATAAAAATAATATCATAAATAATAAGAAAAAATTTTGATTAATACAAACCATTCGATCAAATGTGTTTCGATGTTCACCTTTCATCATAATCCAAGATGGAATCATATGTGGTTCAATACGTTTTAATAATGGCTAAAAAAAGTGAAATGAAAAAATTTATAGATCAAATAAAGATTTCTCTTACTGCATGTAATGGATAACAATCATCATAAACTTGATCACGAAGTAAAAGTTCAATACCTAGAAAAATTGATTAATAGATCCTTTTGTCTTTTAATAATATTATTATCATCATATTAGTAATAAAACAATGAATCATTTTTTAACATTTACTTTTTATTTTCTATATTGAAGAACTCTTTTCTGTTCTATATACATTATTACTTCCGTAGTTTGTAGCTTTCTCTATTCATATAGAAACGGAACAAATATAGCATTTTTATTTTCACAAAGAATGTCAATTATGATTTACAGCCTTGATCCTTTCACAGATCATATCATATAATAATGAATATATCGATTAGTATGAATTATTAATTCAGATTTTAGTTTTAACGTTAGTTAATTAATACGAAAGAATTCAAAGAGAATAGATACTTATAGAAATCTAAAAGTTATCTAATTCCTATATAAGCGTGATTATACACATATATATAATTTATTTTTTTACCTGAACTTGTTGATGATCCCGTAAAGATTTTTTCTAATTCCAAGACACGTCTTTCTTTTACATCACCTGTACCTTGTAAAACTGAAAAGAAAAAGAATCAATTTGATTATTTGCATAATAAATAAATAATTATTATATTAAAACCTTGTTGTTCTTCTGTTTCAGATTCTATTGTTGTCTCAAATGGTGTACGTAATAAGCAATCATAGACAAGACGACTACGTTGTGCAGGTGTAAAGTATAAATCACGTGAATTACCACGTACTGTATCAAATAATGGTTCAAATCTAACAAATATGAATAAAATTCAATTTGTTTTCGTGTTATTTTATCATTACCGATATCGTAATGTTTTACTATATTCAGCTAGAAAATAATGTTGTTCTGGTGGAAACAGCGTACAATCAATTTTTGTAAATGGTAACCATGACATAAGATAATCAAACGGCATTTTTGGAACTGATGGCGTGCGATTTTCCTAAATGTAAAAATTAATTATTTATGACAACTAGAAAATAAAATTGTAGCTTATTGTCTATTGATATAATCTAATTTTTTCCCTTGAGTCAAACGTGTTCAATTTGTAGATTCTCTTTCTCATAGACGTCATTTCATGATATAAAAAGTGAAGCAAAAGAAAATCACAATTTCCCTGAAGACAAACAAGTTAAAAGAAAGGGAAAGGAAATAATAAAAATAATAATAATAATAATAATAATATATTGTTTTTTTTATAGATAAAACATTTCTTTTTTTTTGTATATTCTTACTTCTATTGGCAATTTCATTCTCGTTTTTTCGGCTAATTCGAGAAGAAGTTCAAATGGTGCGTGAAGACGAACGAAACGTTTCACAGATTGTTGTTGTGGTGGTTGTTGTTTAGCTTTACGACCACGACGACTGAATAATCGAGTACTAGTTAATTCATCATTGGCATCATCATCATTATCATCATTATGTCTTGATTCCTAATAGAATGAAAGAAAATAATAATAACTAATTTTTTTTGAATAAATCAAATCTACCAATGCTCCCACAATATCTTGTTCTTCTATTATAAAACCAACTGATTCAAGTTTATGTTGAAATGCTTGTCGACGTTGTTTATTAACTGCTGAATCACGTACACCAAGACTATAAACAAGAACAAAATCGATGCGTCGACGTTGTCGACTATCATTATTATTGCCGGTACTTAACGTTGTCAAGTATAATTGTCGATCAGCCTCTTCAAGCCAATCTACAGGACGCTAAGAAAAAGAAATAACAATTATTTGATATATTGATATATAGATATCAAATGGATATCAAAGTACTAACGAATAAATAGTAATGAATCGAAAATACATCAATAGATGAACAGTCTTATTAGTCTTTATACAGGAAGGAAGATAGAAGAACAGAGACAATATACACGCGAATGAATAACACGACATGCATATCCGCAATTTTCTTTTACTTACGAGTCGTAATAAAGTTCGACAGCCACCACCACTAGCACTACTATCACCAGACTTGTTACTCATTAATGACCAATTTCGATCGATAATTTGTATCAATATCAATTGTATATAATAATTTCAACAAACCTGATAAGAAGAAATAGTGATCATTGTCATATAACGCCTATATGCGTGTTTACACGGCCAGAATAATTAAAACGACTGTGTATGTTACCAAAGCGGCTTCTTCTTCTTCTTCTTCTTCGACTGTTGTTACTACGTTTTCTCTTTTTTTTCTATTCTCGTTATTTCTGCTTCATTTTTTGAGCATCTAGCGAGACGATAGTGCGTGAATGTGAACGCGTGAGCGAAGAAGAAGAGAGAATTGGAGGACAGAGATCGACGTTGACGTGAGCCTCGAAAACCATTGCTTCTATATAGAGAGAGAGAGCGAAGCAGAAGAAGAAGAGAAAGAGAAACAAAGTATATAGAAAAAAAAGGAAAATGTTAGAAAGCATACGAAACAAAAAAGTTCCTAGAATCTCATATATATAGATATTGTTAGCGGTTGGTCGAAGTCCGGATGTAGATATTATTCACGAGTACTATATAACTATATTGATTAATAGCCATTGAAAATGGACGCTATATATGATCTTTCATGAATAATAAAAAATGAACTGATTAATAACGATCCGAATTCATTACGAGAAGATCAAACTAGCGAGAATAATTCATTTTACGAGTCGGGTTTTTGTGTTATATCTTTAGTATCCAATTACACTGTGCTTATTTTATTAACACTCATCTTTATAGTGGTAAGGAAGAGGAAAAAGAAGAAGAAGAAGATGAAGACGAAAGAAAGAAATCAACTCTTTTTTCTTTTTATCATCGATTGCCGAATAAAATTAAGTCAGTAAAAGAAAGAATTTAGAATAATTTCTTTATTCTTTTACATGAAAATCATTATTATCAATTGTTTGTGTGCTTCAATGAGCATTTATTTTACAAGGATTTACCATAGGGAAAAGTAGACCTTTTTTTTTCTTTCTATTAACGATCATTGAAACATGCAAGATTAACAATTCATTGTTATTTTCTTGTCAACAAAATATATATTTGTATAAAAATATCATTCTTTCTCATTATTCAAATAAAAAACAATAATTCTATCAATTAAAATAGATTATGGTAGTCAAATTTCGATAAGAATATTTAATAATATTGTGTTTTTATTCTATATGAAGATTTTATCAATAAATATTCTATATCTATCAATTTGTTTTTCATGAGAAAAAAACGATCATACATTCTATTACATAAAGAAAGAAAAATGTATTTCAAATATCCTTGACAAGTCTTTCGTATAGTATACATTTTCTTTTTATTTAGTTAGTTTGTTTTTTTTAAGTGACGCGTCCGTCATATCAAAGAATCGAGAGAATAAATAAGTAATCGAAAAAAAAAGAAGAAATTTTATGCATTTACCTACATCATTAAATGCAAATTAATAATTATTAGTTTTCTGTTAGGTATATTTATTGATTATTGATTTTTTTACATTATAAATACGTAAAAAAAATTTGATTAATAAAACACTCCCATTAACAAATATATATATTCGATTTGATAAACGCTAATGACGACGCCAAATCTTTCAACAGTTAATGATTTTATATCATCCGGTGCTATTGTTGCAATTATCTTGGGTTCAATTTTTGGACTTGCTCTATGTGTTGGAACTATTATCATAATTATATGTATAATCAAACATCGCAATCAATCAAGATGTCCAATAATAGACCAAATGAGTTCACAGCAAACATATGCATATCCTCATTCATGGGCATCGCTTTATCCACCAGAGACAACTAGTATTACGAATTATCCATCAGTATATGATTCGCCGCCACCTTATGTTGCTTCGACTTCGGACTATGTCAAAACATCATATGCATAAAGATACTTATTTTGCCTTGATGACTATTATTTAATGAAACATATAAAATAACATTTATTTTGTTTGTCATGATTGACATTCAATTTATTGCAATTATTGACACAACATATAATCGATGACAAAGTATAGCAGAAAAAAAAAGAAATATATATTCATGATTATAATTCTTAGTTCTATTGTTTTTCTATAGAAATAAATCTACATATTTTCTACTGTTAACTTTGATGAATATATGTGAATATATTTATAAAAAAAATATATTTCTGATAATATATCGATTTTTATGCATGAATGAAACAGTAGGTAAAGAATATTAATTATTTCCGACGTATAATCGATTAGAGTAAAGTATAAAGAAATGATTTTGCTTTTTTTTCTCTTATATAAGATAAATATAGATAAAAAGATACTTATATACTAAAGTAAGTTTGTTTTTGAAATAATCGAAAATATTCTCATTATTTATTGTATGAAAATTTTCGATTAAAATCTTGAAATATTATCATTAGAATTAGTTTTATTATTATCCAGATCAATTCATATTTCATGTAAATTATTTACTTGTCAATCATAAATATTAATCTTACATGACATTATTTAGAATTTCTATTTAATTTAAAAATCTATAGATAAGATTACTATGAGCTGATCCTTGCTTGTTTTTTCTTCTTCTTCCCTATTTGATTGTCAGACAAGCATTATACAAAAGAAAGTTTTTCAAAGCAGAATATTTTCTTCTATCGTATGACTGAAATATGAGTTCATTAAATCTTAATAGTCAATGTCAAGGATTTATTCATTTCAAACGGATAGATTCATATAAATCAATTCGATCATCATCATAATGTATATATCTATATTCTTAAAAATTCATCTTCGTTAATGATTTCTACTAGTTAGAAAACATGATACGACTGATAGATGAGAAAGTAACGCACGCATTCTTTATTTTTTTCATCAATAAATAAGAAAATAGATTGAAGCAAATGATAGTGCTTAGTATGATTACAATGATTTTTACTTTTGCACTTATTTCTTTTGCTCTTAAAAATGTCCTTCGATTATGGTAAATCATAGTATTAGTACGTTAAAGTAATTCTTTGGCATCAGACGTTAACGTTCTTAAAGTATAATATATATATATTCACTTGTTAGTATTCTTATAAATAAAATATTCTTTTATCATACTAATACAAAAATAGATTTATCAATGTAAATATTTGATTGCACCATATTGTATGAATTCAATCTTCAAAATTTTATTTAGCATAATTGCGTTCAAAGAAGAGGAGAAGAAAAAAAGTTTATATTTTTTTTCTACGGGAAATTGTGTTTATTGACTGGAACACATAACATGAGAAAACACTTCGTAGAAGTACAATCATAATAAGTATATTACTAAAAATATTTCATAAAAAAATATATATGAAAATTTCGTAGTAATATTTATTTGTTTTCAAATGAGTTATTCAAAAACATTATTAAATACGATCGAGTGATTTTTCTATCTTGTTTTGATCAATAAACTATTTTTCTTATCAAGAAATTTCCTGTTGATAAGAATATAATATAAACATTAATCTTCAACTTATTTTAATCGGTCAAATATACGATCTTTCTGATTATCAACAAGACTTTTATAAAGACTTAATACGCAGATTGTGCGACAGACGTAAAATCCTAATAATTATATCAAATATCTTTCAATATGTTCTTAATGAATAAGGTTAACATAACTTTTTTATTATTTATTTCCTAGATAAATAATAAATGTATTTTCTTTTGAATCATGTTCGATTATGAAGTATTAAGAAAGAATGAAAGTTTATTTTTCATACATCTGTAATCCAGATTTTATTTATTTTGAATTCATGAATTTTTTTTCCTTTCTATTAAATGAAAAAAAGCAGAAATAAAACCAATTCACATTCGTCTTGGTAGCATAACATTTCGTATAAACCAAAATTTTATTTAAAAAAAAAATGTCTAGTTATTCTAATGGTACGAGTAATGGTTATTCAACTATAGTAATTATTGGAGGTGTGCTCGGCACATTATGTTCATTTGCTGCTTGCATTGGATTTATTATATGCATCGTATGTATAATTAAGCATTGTAATAGACCAAGACAAACAGTAGGAAATGGTATTATTCTTCAACAATACCCACCATATCCAAATTATGTTCCATACAATTCACCTGAATATCCTTCAGTGAGTCCACCACCATATTCTAATGAAAAAGCAAAAAAAATTACACCACCTCGTCCTACTTCCGATGGAAGACTTACTGATTTAGCTTCTATCTGAATGTGTATAATTAACAAAAACTTATCAATCGAACAAAATAGACAGACACATTTTTTTTCCCCATGTAAAAATTATTTTACTCTTCAAATCACACATGTCTCGACATTATTAATAATCATTTCGAGAAATTTTCGCTCTCAAAGAAAGTAAAAAAGAAGGCTTTAAGCACCATTTCTTTACATTTGTTGTTGTCACTTTTCTGTTCTTTTCTTTTACATGTATATACATTAAAAAAACAGTAATCACTAAAAGAAAATTCATGAATGATTGCACTATCAAACAACAACTACTTCTTCTTCTTCTTCTTTGTTTCATACTTAAAGTAAATTTTCGTTCAACGGAGTAATACATTATATTAAATTGCTTTTAAATACAACTTGTGTAACAAAAAATGAGGAAACAGGCAAATCTTAGAACAATACATCGTCAGAAAAATATTTTGAAGATTCTAATAAAATCAAACCTTATTTAAGTACCTAAAAAATAGATACGATCAAATATAATTTATTTTTGTTTAACCCTCGCATTATTTCCAAAAAGAAGAAATTTCAGTATATATTGTGAAAAATGGATTCTTATTATTATTTATAATGTATTGTAGGAGCATACCTCATATAATTATTTATTTTAAATAAATAATATTGACTCATGCTTGTCCTCAAAATAGTACATTCAAATGTATAAAAATAAATTCCATTATAAATGAATCGATTCGGAATTTTGTTCGTCATATGCTATCGATTATGATTATTTCTATACTTTTTTTTTATATTAAAAAGTTCAATAGTACCTATTGCACATCTACAATAAATAAATTCATTTCTTATCCATTACAAAAATATCATATATTTCATAATCATAACCAAGGTAAGACATGATATTACTTATTATTAGAATAAAGTCACTATGAAAACAGTTTCTTCTATATATTTTTGATTGAATTTTCACAATCATCAACATGCTTGAAATCTAATATTTATGATTTCAATGTAAAATCTGACTTTTTCCAGATATTTTGATCGGTAACTAATCAAATTTTTGACATATTTTCTTTTATAGAGGTTTTCTCATTAATCACATTAATAAAAAGAATTTTCATTTCCATTATCATATGACAGTGCTATATTTAAAATGTTATAGAAAATATTCTATTTCCCTAGGCTAAGAATGACTTGACGTTTTCCAGTATTTAGAACCATCGTTTATTGATAAAAACACAAAAATATCTATACTTATTGAACTGATCAACAAAATCCGTTCATATTGTTCATCGATAGAATTAGAAATTCTGATTCAATATTTGAAGAAGAATAAAAACTATTCTATACATTATCATAATATTGATTATTTAAATTTATCAATCAATATGCACCATTTCAAAATACAGTAATCGACAATAAGTGACATCTGTTTTATTTTCAACTTATTTTTATGATTAAATTTTGAATTGGATAAAATTTTTTACCATTGTTCATTACCTGTAGCACATGCTTGTGTTCTGTTCTGTCTATACGTTTGACGAAGGTCAAAATCAATATAGCAATTATCTTGTTCATTTAAATCTAGATTATTAAAGTGAGATGCCTGCCCCAGTAGACATCGAAGTAGATCAACCGACAACTAACGGTCATGTTGCTGAGACTTATAGTTCGGATTTTTTTGATGGTTTGTATTAAAATTTATATTTCAAACTTTATTCTCGATATTTTTCTCATAGCTTCTGTTGCTGATCTTGCTGATTTATTAAAAAATGAACCACAAGATGATTTTATCGTTGGCTTACAAGATACTCTATCAAATGTATTTTCATCACCAGCTGTATTTTCTCTTGCATATGTACGATGAAAACAATGTTCTTTTTTTTTCTCTAAATGAATTATTTTTCATTTAGTGTCATGATTTACTTCTTCGTTTTATTCAACAACCAGATAATATGCGTCCTGTTTCAACAGATAATTTATCTTTATTAACATCATTACTCAAAGATCTTGAAATTGTTGGAATGACAAATAATTATGCGAGAGAATTAGATAGTATTTTACGACGTCCGCATATTCGAGTAAGAATTTCAAATGTAAAAAAAAACACAAAAAAAAATTTTTTTTTGATTAGATGATTATGGATGCTCATCAAACAATAGCAACAAGAGAATATGCTGAAGATCAATTACCAATAGGATATTTACCAGATGCAACTAAAGCATTACCTGATATATCTTCACCTTCATATATGTATCCTGGTGTAATACCAAATATGCCACCGAAAACTATTGGAATTGAATCAACTGGTGAAGAACATTTAGGTATTACAGTTAAATTAAATGAAATGGGAGATTTAGAAATCAAACGAATTGTACAAGGTGGTTTAATTGATAAACAAGGTAGATAAAGAAAATTTAATTATAAATTTGAAGAGAAAATTTCTTAATTTTTTTTTTCAATTAAAGGTCTTCTTCATGTCGGTGATATAATCAAAGAAATTAATGGTGAAATTGTTAATACACCAGAAGAATTACAAGATAAATTAAGAAATGCTCGTGGTGCTGTAACATTTAAAGTTGTACCTAGTTATTATGATTTTCCTTCACCATCACAAGTAAAAATTAAATTTTATTCAAAGAAAAAACCATATTTGATTTTTTTTGCTTTGTTATAGTTGTATATTCGCGCTCATTTTTCCTATGATCCAGCAAAGGATAAATTAATTCCAGCTAAAGAAGCTGGATTAGCATTTGAGGAAGGTGATATATTACAAATACTTTCACAAGATGATGTTCATTGGTGGCAGGTATAATTATTTCATAGTTTGAATTATATATATTTTTCTCCTCTTTACAAAGGCAAGACTTGTGAAAGATCCAACACAAAAAGGTCTCATACCATCACAATATCTCGAAGAACGACGTAAAGCTTTTGTACCACCTGAAAATGATTTTTCTAAAACATCTCGTAAGTCAATATGAATATATAATTAAAGAAAAACATACATTTCCATTATGAATTCTTAATGTTATATAAATAGTTTTAGTAAGTCTTCATATAAAATGATTTATATTTAATAGGATGTATATTGCATAACCTTTAAAATGAATTTGAATTATCAGACTAACATATGATATCGCGCATACTTGTAGAATAGATGATTAACAACTTTATTGATATTAAGACTATTCAAATTAATTCATTGTAGATGTACTTTTTGAATAAAATATTCGACAAAAATAAGAATATATAATACGAAAGAGTGTCAAAGGAAAGTTTATTGCTTACAGAATATTTGTACATAATAAAAATATTTTATGAATGATTTGTCGATGAGAATAAAGACTTGATTAAATTTATTACATTGTTTGATTCTACTGCAAAAGTATTAGTCATTTCTAAAGTTAAAATAGCATTGTCAATCATGGATATCGTTGTCTATTTTTCGATTCACATCGTTAAAGCATAAAATTGCCGATACAATGTCTTCTTATATCTTATAAATTCATTTTTTCCCTCTAAATAACATGTGTGCGACGTTAGCTTTGATCTTATACATATACTACGAATAAAAGTGTTAGATATATATATATGCTATCGATGTACGATAATTAGAAAATCTTTTGATGTCTATAACAAGTAAAATTATTATAAGAATAGAATTTCTATATGACTTCGATGATTTTTATAATCGGGAATAAAATTTAGGATTACTGATATCAGAGTTAATCATATATGCGAAAAATCATTAAGATTATTATCAATCTTATTGTCACTTTAGTTTTTCAATTCATCATTCTTTATTCATATGATTAATGATCTTCTTGATAGATATTTATCTAGGTTGTTAGATAAAATAAATATTTAAAAAAGCAATCGTGTTTTATTTTTAGTTGTATGTGGTTTAATTGATCGTCGAAAGAAAAAACGTTTATTATTTAATGTTAAAGATTCTTCATTATTCGACAAAGGTGATATATGTCTCTATCAAGAAGTTGCACGTATGCCACCATTTGCAAGAAAATGTTTAATATTAGTTGGAGCACATGGTGTTGGTAGACGAACATTGAAAAGTCGTTTAATTGCTCTTGATCCCGATCGTTTTGGAACGACGAAACCACGTAAATAAACTTAAAGAACGAAAACTTTTTTATTATTAAAAAATTTTTTTTTCGTTAAATAGATACATCACGTTCTTTACGTATTGAAGAAGCAAATGCTTATTTTCATATGGATCGAAATGAAATGGAAACTGATATTGAAAAAGGTGGTTTTCTTGAACATGGTTTATATGGTGAACATTTATATGGAACAAAATTTGAATCTGTTCGACGAGTTATTCAATCAAGTAAAATGTGTGTACTTGATGTTGAACCAACAGTAAGAATGAAGTTTTTGTTTTTTCAAAATTTTATTTTTAAATAATTTTAGGCTTTAAAATTAATTTGTAATAAAGAATTTATGCCGTATGTTGTATTTATAAAAGCACCTAATTTGGATTATCTTCGTCATATGCAACATAATGATAAACAGAGAATGTCAAAAATGAGAACAGTTTGTATTCCTTAGGAAAAACAAAATTTCATAATTTGACTTTATTTTTTCTTATAGAAAAGTAGTATGGGTAATAATTCACTATTGAACTTATCGGTAAATAATTTATTTAATGAAGATTTATATATGTGGGGTTTCTTTTTAGGCAAAAGATCTTGAACAAGTTGTTTTGGAAAGTGATGCTTTAGAACATGATTATCATACGTATTTTGATTTGACACTTGTTGCTGACGATATTGAAAAAACATTTGAACAGTAAATTAATTAAGACGATATGGTTTATATATGTATTCATTTATTTTTAGGCTTGTTCGAGCTGTTGAAGCATTGAGTGCTGAACCTCAATGGGTTAATGTTCAATGGTTTTCTTAAATCTTTGTATCGCAGAAAAATATTTCCTGTTATTGTGTTGACTAATCATCTAGTGTTTTCTTTGTTTGTATATACATGAAAAGTGCTTATAATCATATGAATTTCATACATTCCATTGTGTTCTTTTTTTTTGATTTCTGTGCAATTTAACATTTATTGCTACCGCTGCTGCTGCTGAATGCTAACAATTCCTTTTTTTTAAATATAATGCTTATTTGCTTTTCTACTTGTAATCTCAGTTATTAATGAATAAACGCATTCCAGTGCTTCTTTTTTACTGCACCATTAGAATATATGTTGATTTAAGTATTTTTCGACTGGAATAAATTATACTATTACTTATATTTCATTCGAGTTAGTATCGATGTTCTAATGCATATTTTGAACATATTAAATCAAATACTTTGTTATAGGAACTGCACAGAGATAGTTAACAAAAAAACGTTTAGTGTTGGAAAATATTACAGAAAAATGGAATTGATCTGAGATCAATTTTTGAGAAGGGAAGATCTTTAATCTTTTCATGAACGTTTTATAGTGAAAATAATTGATTTTGAAACTGTCTGTGAAAATGATTTAATAGCAAATAATCAATTTTTGAATCTTGCATTGCATTTGAAAATTCACAATTATTTTTGCTATTGTCTTTCTATATAATTTCATATACCACTGACGTTGGATTCATTACTGATGACTGGAAAAGATGTACTGCAAATTATATTATTCATTTTTTTGCAACCGGTACCTATCATACAATCTTCTATTTCTAGTATGCTTATTTTCCCTAGAGCCTATTGTCTATATTCGAACGGTTTCATACATTTTATAAATATTTATCTACAACTCATTATATGCCTCACTGGTTTTAATAAAGCTAAAATAGAATGCACTATAAATTCAAATAAATTATTAATTATGATTAATAATTCTATTGTTTTATAGCCCTAATAATTTTTGTCTATAGAATCCATAGCGAGTACTATTAAAAGTTATGTATAAATAAAAGTGCTCTCAAAGTGCATTATTTTTTCAGGTTTCTTTTAAGAACATTAATTATTTTATATGCGTACATTCTAATTTTACTTTTACGAGATATACTCAATGAGTGTGAATAGATAAATCTAAACAGCATTAGAATTGTTTCTTCTTATACATGTATATTCCGTTTTAACATTATTTATTTCTGAATAACAGTTCTAGAAATTACAGGTATTGAAACACTAATAGCCCCACTTATTATTGTTGTTTGTCTGGAAAATATTGTCATGTATTGAAGTACTTATTATAGTTGTATATTGAATGACATTAGTGAATATATAAACTTGACTTTTCTAAGTACGATATAATGAATCCTGTCTGGTCTAGTAAATATTCTAAATATCATTAAATGGAAACAATTAAATGAAAACTTTTAGATAAGTAAAAAAAGGAAAAGCGCTTTTGTTTATTATTATTGTTTCTTCCTTTCACTTGATTTTTTTTTCAAAAGTTTTATGAATAATTTATGGCTTCGAAATACATCAATTTCACCTACATTTGATCATCATATTGAAAATTCTCAGATAAATGAAACACCAATAAATCATTCAGAATGTCCATCATATACATTAGGATTTGGTCATTTATTCTCTGGCAATCTACAGTATTATCCATCTTTTCCTTATGAGTTAAGTTCATTTGAAGTACCTAAATGTAATTCCAATTTAAACTACAATATAGAACAAATGAATAATATCCAATCACAACAAGATTGTATTATTAATCAAAAAGTTAATGAAGCAATGGAAACTATTCGTAATACAATAAAAAATATTGAACAGCAACATAATTATTCTATATCATGTATACCGTATCAGTATAATCCAATAGTGAATAATTATTCTCAGAGTAATATCACGAAAGCAGCTGCACTTCTTGAACGAGCAGCGCATGCAATGTCAACTGTTGCCAATACACAAAGTCAATTTCGATCATGAAAATCTAAATAGAATAACTAATAATCTTCTTGTTTCTAGTTTTGTATATAATAAACAAAATTATTTTTATATTCTTTTATTACATTTATATTGAATATAAGATACTAATTTTAATGAAAATTTCTATTTTTAAACATACTTTTATTTTAATTAAATTACATGAAGAAAAAAAAATATTATTACAGCATTTTTCGAAGATATTCTTGTCGCTTGTAAATAATTCCTTTTTTGAAAAAAAGAATGTTCGAAATAATTTAACTGTCCCAAGCTGGTCGTGCTGTAAATAATTGATGAGATTGATTTGTATTATCATTCGTAATTGGCATTGGAATAGCTGTCCATGGTGTAATAGATGTAGTACTCGTTGTTGTTACTTCTAATGATCCTGTTGATCTATCTCGTGGTGATTGTCGAGCTTCATTAACACTACTACCACTGCTAACATTATCACCACTTACATGACTTGTACCAAAATCTATTGGCATTATTTTTCGATCTAATTGTTTTAAATAATCTTGAAATCGTTTATCCATTGTTGGAAATTGTTGTTGTTTCTTTGGTAATATAGGAAATAAACGATGTACTGTATGCATTGCTTCAGTTAATGTTAATTGATTATTACTTAACATTAAATATTGTATAGCAATAACAGCTAATGGTGAATTAGGTGTTAATTCAAAACCATATATAAGTACACGTTTTCCTTCTTGTTGTGCTCTCGATATAAAACGATTCACAGCTGAAAATAGTTGCCCTAATTGTGTTCGACTTAATTCTCGAACTTTACTGTTACTTAATTGATTTGAATCTAATGATGATGATGATGACGAAGAAGATGTAAAGAATGGTTGATCAAATTCAAGTGTTAATGTGCAACGTGAATGTGTATGGCCACAGTGACATGGAAGACGAGCACCTACATTTGCTTTACGTGCTAATTCATCGGGTCTCATATTCGATGCATCAATAATATATTCAATATATAATTTACATAATTGTCTTTCATTTTGTAATGCACGTATTGAACCTAATAAAATATCATCAGTAAGAGCAACAAGTGGAACTGTTGGTGATGCTGGATCGCCCATAGCTAATGTTTGTCCTACTAGAGATTGTGGGCGTTTTTTATTATCGCGTCGTATTTGCGGACGGAAATCTGTTCCTAAATTAAATATTATATTATTAAAAAAAAGAAAAGTATATTTTTAAATTACGGAGAAATTCGGAAGTTGTTGTAAATACAGGTGGTGCTGGTTGAGGAGTAAATGATGATGAAACAGGTGATTGTGCTGATGGTTTTGAACGTATTAATGTTGGAGATATTGATGGACATGATGGATTTCGTCGTGGAATAGATGTTACTGAAGTTTCTGGTGAATCAATATCCCATTTGTTATCGTATGCCGATGATTTCAAAGGTAATGAAACAGCTGTTGTTGGTCGATTAAATGGTACAGGCATTGAATTAGAATCAGTGCTCATACGACTTAGATGTTTTTGATGAAGAGAATTTTTATGATGATGGTGATGATGATGATGATGCCCAACTGCTGATGTATGTCGACGACGAGTACTTGATGATGAATGATGATTAAAACGATCTGTTAAAGTTTGTTTTCTTCGTCGAGATTTTAAATCATTATTATCATCATCATCGTCATTAGATGAAGATGTTGTTAAAACATCTTGTACATTTAAATCACTTGTTGATGCGCCTTCAATACGCACTGTTACGGTTGATGGATCAGCCACTGTAGATGATGCCGAGCTAAATATATATATATTGAATATTATTTAATTTTTTCTTTTTCTATCTACTAGATTGAAATGTATTTTCATAATTTTCTTTTTCTCTTATCTTTTTTTTAACTCACCTTGGGGAACGTCGAATCACACTGTGCGTCATTTTCTTAACTTTAAGATCGCATTTCTTCAGGCTATAACAGAAGTAAATCAAAAAAGAAAAAGATCAATACACGCAGTCTTAAACAATTAGACTGATTAACAATAATAGTACATCAATGACGCATATAAAGTTGCACTGCAACTACGTTTACAGTTGATGCACTACTGTTGCTAGAAGGATAAAAGAAAAAGGAGTCGTATTCTAGAAGAAAATATAATCAAAATTGTTGTATAATGACGAGACTTTTTTCATATCTTTATATAAAAAAAACGAGAAAGAATAAAGAAAAAAGAGGAAGAGATTTCTTTCTTTTTTTACCTTTGACGCTTTTGTGTGTGTGTGTGTATGTGTGACACGATCCATCGTATTTCCTTGAGCTGTTGCTTTTCACTAACATAGTTCATCTTATCTACTTTTTTCTTTTTTTTCTTCTTCTTCCTTTTTTACTTTCTAATTTGCATGTCAGTCTATGAATTAGAATTCTCATCACTCGAGGATGACAAACACTACCAAAGATATAACTGTTTCACAACAACATACATATTAAAGTTTTGATGCATTTATTATAACATAAGATTATTATTTTCCGTTCTTACTTGAAAACAGGAAAAAACATGTTATCATACATAAGTTTTCAAGACAAAAGATTACTCATGTATTTCGATAGATCTATTATATATCAATGTTCGAAATAGACAAATGATTTTATATAGAAAATAGAAACCAATTATTAGTAGTTTTGTTAAGTCAATAAATACAAAAATATGAACGCTTGAAGCCTTAAGAAGTTCTTAAATTTATTTCATATAATCAAATTATATTCTAAGTAATATTTCAGATGTCATTTTATGAATAAAAAATGACTTGTAAATTAATTTTTTTTTCAGTGAAACACGGCCGTTTCTTTTTTAAAAGAATTATATACTTCATGGACGAATAGATATGACTTGAAGGAATGTTAGTAACTGTAATTAAAATCTCTGAGAATAGACTGATAAACTTTTTTTTCTAATTAATTTTTAGTTTATATTTATTTAGCTCAATATAATTTTTCCGAGGATAAAGTCAGTTAGCATTTCCGTATAATTAAATTCAAGTGATATTTGATCATTTATATATAGATATAGGAAATAATCAAAGAACTGCATCTGTCTGCATTAAAATCTCAAGTCATTAAATATTCTGTTGTTTATTCAAATAAAAAATCTTTTTGTTTTTGTTTTTCTTTTAATAAATAACTATATGTATATATTCAATAAATGTATTGTTAAAAAAGGAATGTTTTAATAAATGTATATATAAAAAAAAGGAATAAAATAGAATTAGTCTTTTCCTTGAAGAATAGCATGACGATAATTATTTTTACTTGAATTTGTTAATGATCTCCATGTTGTACCTGAATAACGAAAAAATGCTAAGACTAAATGAAGACATACGACAAATGATAATAAAGCAGTTGATAAATAAAATGATATATGAAGTAGATAACTTGATTGTTGATCTTGATGTTGCCAATAACTAAATGTTAATAAAACAAGAAATATCCAACCAGCAATAACATGACACATTGCATTAAAAAAGAAACATGACATTAATATAATATAAACTATTGTTATTAGACACATTATAGCAATAAAACATACACCGATAATATCTAATGTTGATTCATTTATATGATACAATGATTTTGTTGATAATAATGATTTACAAGTATATAAAGATGAATAACCAATTAATGCGATTTGCCATGCTAACATTACACTAAGACCGTTATGAACAAATATTCTTATTGACCATATATCACCAAATCTAAAAACAAATTGTTTTTTTTTCGGAAAAGCCTTTTAGAAAAATATTTTCATACAAATGACATGTAGATAATTCACGTTCATAATTATGAAGATGAATTATGGATGTTACAAGACAGAATGTTAATGCCATTGCACCCAAAATTGTATAAATAATTGCAAGCTAAAGCAAAACAAAAAAAAGGCGTTAAATCAAATAAGAATTTAAATAAATACGTACGACATTGGATTGATGTTGAATAAGAAATAGAAATAAAAGATGTGACCAACAAGCAAGACTAAACGTTAATAATTGCATTTGAGGTACTGGACGAGGATATTTATATAAATAATCACTATCACCACCGCCACCATTTCGACGACATAATGTTGTTACAGCATAGAGTAACCAAGGAACCTAAATGAAATTTTGAAACTTAAATAATAACAAACGAAATCATTTCTACATACTTGTAAACCATAGACAGTCATCCAAATTGGTGCAATCCAACTTTTAGGTGGTACTAATGGATCAGTGCGTGCATGAAAATGATGAAGTATATGACCGAAAACTATAGAAAGTTTTGCTAATCCCTTCCAAGAAAGATATAAACTTATAATATTACCTTGACTATCGAAGAAAAGATCACCGATGATTAATGTTAATGCAAGAATATATGAAACAAGAGCAATAATAAGACCAATTGTTTTGCCACATGCATGTCGTTGTTTGGTTCTATGAAATACAGGTATGATACTTCATTTGTATGATAAAATGAATAGATTCCGAAAATGAAATACATACTTATCAATTGCAGTATGCATAGCCGGACTATCTCCAAAAGCCGTTGGACGAGAGAACAAACTCGACGACATGATTAGATTGTAAATATAGAAGAAGATGAACAAAAGTCAATGTTGTTATTCTTCTTCTCTATGATCATATAACATACATAAGATGATATTTATCAAAGTAGTGACGGTATGTATCTGTTTAAAATAAACACGTTTGAATGATATTTTTTCTTCTTCTTCTTCTTCTTCTTCCTTTCTGATTGGATATGTTACTGAAATAGTTATATAAGATCGTCTATTGTTTATAGTTATGAAAAAAAGAAGAAGACAAGTTCGGTCAGTAAGTACTATGGAATGAATATTCTATTAACGGCATAATACTATAAAATATTGAATATCTTACTGATTTTTTATCTAATATAAGATTAGATTCAATGCAATAGTAAACATATCATTTATTATTTTATAGATACCTGGTGAGTTATGATATTCCCTGGATTATGATGATAGCAAATGTCATTTTTTTACTGATAAATGACTAATTAATCGATATTACCGATATCATAGAGTTATTGTTTTTCGAGAAAATTAAATTAAGAAAAACTGAATTTATTTTTCTATAATCTAAAGGTAGTGAGCCAAAGCATCCTTCCAACTTAATATATATTTTGTTTTGCTGAAGATTAGGACAAATAAGACGAAAAAGAATACACTGGTGCGTGCGTGTATAAAGATAGAAGAAAACAGAAAATTTGTAGTCATTCAAATGAAATTATAGGTACGAATCATACATTATTACATAAATTCATTTGACAGACACGCACAAATGAAACAAAATTCTACTACACAAGACGAAAACAAAAGAAGAAAAAGAGAAAGTGCACAAAACTTGGCGCTCTTTCGATTGCACACACGTATGCCTTATATCCACACCTCGATGGATATACTAGAAAAAAAAGAGAGTGAATATAGGAAGTAAAATTAATGTATATGTATGTATGTATATATGTATATATATATATGCGCGTGTGTCAATGATTTTTAAATTGAAGTTTATGAAGGAAATTTGGGCGGTGAACCGACTATTGCTGGTGAAGTTGTGCCAGGTGATGTTGTAAGTACAGAACTACGTCGTGGACGATCAGCATCTTCCATAGACATTGCACGAGACAAACGTCCTAAACCAACTAAACCTGCTTCCATTGGTAAACCAGATACTAAATAAAGAAGAAAAGCTTGAATATATGTTTATAAAAACTAATAAATATATACATACATAAACCAATGCCTTGTAAAAAGAATTGCATTGATTTAGCCAAAACATCAGGCTAATTGAAAAGAAGAATTTAATAAAGAAATTTAATTTAATTTATCATCTTACTGCTTCACCAAGAACATCACCAACATTATCAGCGATAAGTAATGGTGAATTAACCATTTTTTGAGGATTATTACGTGCTTCACGAAGTCGTTCATAAAATTTTTCAGTTGTATTTATTACAGAACTTTTCTTTCCAACAGCTACAAGACAATCAACTCTATAAATAAAAAATTAATCCTTATATCATAGTATTCAAAATATTGTAAAATCGATTTGATATAGTAGATAAAATTTATAGAACCTCTCAGATATGTTAGTTTAACGGGAACTCTGATACTCTCTGTCCTATTTGTAAAATATATTTAATATTATCTATTTCAATCCATAAAATTATAAACTGCATATAGTTGTTTCTATGTAAATATCATTTAGATTGAATAACTTACGTTAATTTGTCTAATTTATCAACAAGATTAGTTCGACTAGAAATATAAAAGAAAATTTTAACAAATCAAACTAATTTTTCTTTTTCTTACTTCAAAAAAGCATCCATAAAAAGTGCCAAATTTTTAGCTGTTCGTTTTTGGTAAAGTTTTTCCGAAAATTCACGAATATTTGCTTCAAGTAATTGTGAATCACCATAACCCTAGATAATAAATAGAATTCTTTTCTTTATTTCTTTTCTATAACATCGAAAGAGTAACGTATTAAATAACATTCATGCAGCCAATGTGAAACATGTTAGTATTGTAAAGAAAAATTGTAAAAACCTAATTAAATACCTTTGTACTTTTTGAATGTGTCGAAAGCATAGTTTTCTGCAAAATTTGATCTCATATACATATTCATTCAGGCATACAAAATAATGACAATAATGCAAAAAGAAAAGAGAAGAATAGGGACATGGTAAACTTCTCATGCTAAGGATAAAAATATTCTTTTCGAAATCAAATAATAAATCACACCTTGTTCTTGTTCGGATCGTCGCTAGACTATAAAAGCAAATAAAATCTAATTGAATTATCTAGGCATACTTTAAATGACATATTTCAATCGATCTTCTATATATAACTGAGGGAAATGCAAGTATTTGACAAACAATAGAGAATATCGAATAACTATTAAATAATTCATACAAAAAATCACACTTACTTTTGCTGCATCCTAAAATAAATAAACAAATAAAAATAGATTTAATTTTTAATAAACTAAATAACATACACGTCCAAATCGATGCCAAATAAGATAAGCTTCAGCATCAGGATTCATTCCTTTATGGATTAATTTCCAGTTATTAAGTTTATCCTTCATCATTTCCATAAAACCAGCAGTTGTACCAGTTGGATGTACAAGCACGAGACCATGTACACGTGATGGATATTCAATAGCAAAACGAGAAGCAATATTAGCTCCTGCACCTTCACCAAATATAACTGTTTGTGGAATATTTAAGTGATCAACAATATTTATTAATTCACTAGCTATATCATCTAACGATGGATATTTCCTTTAAAGACAAAAAAATAATAAAATGTTTTTTTTATTTTTCATTTTCTATTAAATTTTTACTCGATAGTTAAAGGAGTAGCATCATCTTCTTGACCGGGTAAATCAACATGTACCCAAACAATTCGTTGTTTACTATAAAAATAAGATCTAATTCAATTCTTACAATTTTCAAAAAAAAATACATACAGAGCACGCATTTCAGGTTGAGAAACAAATTCAGTAAAAACTGAATCTAAATTTTTCAAAAATAGAAATTAATTTTTTTGTAGAAAATTCAATCTAATTATTCACTTACGACTACAACCAATATCATGGATAGTCATAACATAACATTTCGAATTGGTACCAGTATCATCCTAATCAAAAAGTATTTATTAACAACTTTTACACGCCATTAATTCTTACTTGGACCCATGCAGTATAATCAAGGCCAAGTTTATTTGATCGAATGACATATTTCTAAATAAAATATTCATATAAATATTTTGAAATTGAAATAGAATTAAATTAGTTAGTTAATATGAGCAGCAAAGTCTTTTTTTATCTAAACTTACGGGATGACCTTGAGCCTATATTTGAAATAAATGAAAACATTTAATTCATAAAACAAATTATATGTATATATTTATATCCATCCTTGTAATTCATTTTATTGCACAGTTCATTGAAAAATCTAGATTAAGTTTATTCTTTTTCTTATCTGTTTTGTACATGATCTTAGTCTTAACCAGTTTTTTTGCCTTCTTGTCCAAGGACGAATGTAAATATGAGAGAATGGAGAAAGAATTGGCAAATTACATTTCTAAAGCTTAGATTTAATGCGACAAAAAAAATGTAGGCTAATATTTGTATATACAGACGACGACTACGACATATGTTTGTTGTTTATCACCTAAAAATATCAGTGATATGCTTTCTTTGTCTGTTCTTTATTTACTACAATGTCTAATGTTAGGTACACTATGGGATATGTTATGAAAGTTATATATATATGTGCTTATAGCACAATGTAAAGTGTTCATTTATACTAACTATATATATATATACTTTTAAATGTAATCAAGCGTAGAAATAAAAAAAGAAAATAATATTGAATGGTCTTAATAACTCACTTGATTTTGTTGAACTGTTCCAAGTTTTTCAAGTAATCCTGCTCGTTCTGTTTCATCCATTTTGTTTTATTATAAAATTGAAATCTGAGTTCAAATATTTCTTTCTTATATAAAATAATAGATCAAATTAATAGTCTCTTTTTTTTTCTTTTCTTAATCCAAACTATATGTATTTGTTAACTTAAGCGAAAAGAAATGAGCGAACACACACACACACATACAGATATATATATAAATATACATGTAGATGGAGAGAAGCAGAGAGAGAGAGAGAAATATATATATATATGAATGCAAGTTAACGAACGTTTGTGATTAAAATCGGGCT